ATGGAGTGACATTAATTCCGACAAAAAAAACAATTTGCTGTTATTTTTTGTCGTCTGTCCAATAATGTACACTTATTGTTCACTACACACCTAATAACTATATATTATCACTTTAGTAAATAGTAAATGATGTATCCAATTTCATGAATCGGCAGACATCTGTTAAAATTGAAGACATACTATCGTATGAGGTCCCCTGGGTTCATGATTAACTATTTCATAAGGAACAGGATGAAAGAACCCTTTCTTAATTAATTCAAGAATCTTTTCTCGTAAAGCAACTGCAGCTTCACAAGACTTTTTATTATCCTAATCATTAATTATTACGTAAAAATGTTTAGCATTTTAGCAAACATGAATTCATAATAATAAAATATCGTGGTTACCTGAAAGAAATATACATGGAAATGATATTCTTTAATTTCTTCAAGTTCTTCCTCTAGTGGTTCTCTTTGCGGATCCAAATCATTAAAATCATTATTTTTTATCAACATAATTTTTAACCGCAAAGTAATAAATTTTTAAACCCTTTAAAATGTAAGTTCCGTACAATTAAAATTATAATAAATTTTGTGTAGCAATTGTGTGAATTTATATGATTCACATGAATTTAATTTACAAATTGATTTGTAATCAATTTAATCTGATCACTTTGCATTAACGAATTTCCAATCTGGGTTAGTTATTAAGACTATTTATGCAATAAGTAAGAATCATTAATACAACTAGGAACCGGAAACCAGTACCCAAAATTTTTATCGATTGATGGCCTCAGCTAGAGATGTGTAATTTTGAGTAACGGTAAGTTTCTGGGGTGTCCAATATCATAAGTGCAGATTATACAAACATCAATTCATACTAATCTACAAATTCGGCAATTCAATTGGTCTAAGATCATATGATAGCTACAATACAAATTTTGTATTCGTAAAGTGAGGCTTTACTATAAAATTAGATGTTTAGACTCACTGGCTCGATAGTTTTCGCTCAAATTTTTTATTTATAATAATTGTAGCAATATGAACAAAATTACAGAAAAAATTTTTACATTACAGCTGTTTTCATTAATATATTGACATGATAAATTGCTGACCCTTCCCAGGCTTTAGGTGTCTGAAGGACGCCCTCCTCTTAGTCATACTTTCAGAGCATATGCCCTTTTCCTCCAGTGCGACAACCCAGCAGTTCAGCTGGTATGCCCTCCGCCAGCGGACCTGATCGCTCAGTTCTCCGATCTCAAACCCCAATTCAAATTTAGCCCTCTTGTGGTACCATCAAAGATCATTGCTACCTCCAAATTCGAGACTTGCCAAATGGGTTTTTGGTTATGCCGGTTCCTTGGATTTATTGCACCAAAGCTCCCATAACTAGATAGTGTGACCAAGATTACAGATTTAGTTTTAGATCCAACCAATAATCGACAACCGTAAACCATAGCACAGGCTATTATTCAAATATTGTTGCCAGTAGGATTTGAACTTTAGACCTGCCACTTGGAGAAAGTGATTACTAGACCACTACACTAAGTTACCACACCTCTTAAACAACTTTTATTAAGATCAAAAGAAGAGTTTACTTAATAAAAATATCTCTTTTAAAGCACTTTTTGATATCTGGGATAATATTACAAAAATAAAAATAAAAATAGCAATACTTTATAAATATTATTTTTAAATTTATATTAAAAAATAGATACCAAATAGAACTCTTTCCAATAATCACTTGGACCAAAATTTTAACAAAAAAAAAACCTAGTTTTTATACTAGAAAGATATAAACCTGTAGTGAAGTGAATCAACAGAATAGTTTTTATAAAGATTAATTCTGCAGCTTAACAAGAGACTTCTTTATATATTTGATATACAAGCCAAAAACATTAGTAAACAAGATAATTAGAAGAGGATAGTGCCTTTGTATATAAAATTTTGATAAATAGATGAGATAATAGAAGTTTAAACCTTCTGTCAATAATTTATCAGTTGTGAAATAACTAAAAAATAGCAAAGAATAGGCTTCTTTTAAGCTATACTTCTTTTTTTAGCCAAGTTGTTTTTACTATTCTTTTTTCACTTTTTTGCCTTCTAAAATTTTTTGACAAAAAGTAAAAATTTGGCTTATCATTTTCAAAAGATTAGCATTGTTTATTTCCCAAATTCAGACAGACTAATAGAATGTAACCACATATTTGTTTATAGACAAATATGATGCTACTTCACAAGATTTGGTTTGGAAACTCTAATTATGGTAGCAGGTGGTTGTAGACAACACCTGGCTCAAGGTATGAATTAGAACAAATAACAAAGATATCTGGAGTTGTGGAAAGGTTAGAAAGTAAACTTAATGTTAAAGTGAAGCTTTACAAGAGAGATATACAAATATTGTATTTATTATATAATTTTTATTAGCTATATACAGGTTATAATAATAACTTTAGAGTCTTAGTTTTCTTTTTGTATTTTTTCTTTTTTAGAATTTGTTTTTTTTTCTGTTTATTTTTCTTATTTTTATAACCTCTTTGTTTAAATTTTTTCCTTTTTGTCTTATGCTTCTTAAGAAGAAGAAAAAATTTAAAAAAAAAAAAAAATCTAAATAATAGAAGCTGAGTCTAAACTAGATAATATTTTTAAATATACTATATCATATATAAAGTATAGTAGTTAATATTAGTGTGATAATTAACTTGAACATCTTTAAAAGACAGCTAAGTTTTAGTCTAATTTGCTTATTAAATAGTTTAATCTTGTATTGAGTGTTAAATATTTAATAAAATTTAGTATATAGTTAGAGTAGTGACAGATATTACATAATATTTTTTTACTATACTCTCTGCACCCCTCCTCCTACATACAGTATAACCTCGATATAACGAAGCTCTGAAGCTGAAGGTTTTGCTTCGTTATATCTATATTTCAATATATCGGGGTCTCTTGATATAACAAATTTATATATAATTTAATAAAATATTCGCTTTACAAATAATATCCCTCGATATAATGAATATATATATATATTTATAAAACGCTCGGTTTTATAATGTGTCTCAATTAGAGATGCAGTAGAATTGTCCCAATGATATTTGGCACACTGCCGTAATTTACTGTAATTATAGCAAGTACTATAGTAAGCTACGGCTATAATGCCATAACTTACTATATTACTTGCTATAATTACGGCAAGTTACGGCAGTGTGCCGAATATCATTGGGACAATTCTACTGCA